AGGAAAGTTCTCATTCTTTTTTTCATCAAGCTCAGGTAATTGCAATCACTGGCATAACTGCTAGGAACTTTTTCTGTGGAAATAGATCTAGGTTAGGCTTGGTATATACAAAAGCCTTCGGTTTTTAATTTTTACTTTGCTTAAATTGCTAACTGGAAGTCATTATTTTTGTTGCCTAAAAGTAAATTCGGTTTATTAATTAATATTGATTAAGGATAAATTTGTGGATGGAGCAAGAGTGTTATTGCATGAAAGGGAAAGGGGCTATCATGTAGGGTGAGGTGCTTATCTTGTGCAAGTTTCGGTTTCGATGACAATCTACTGTATGTTGGTTTGTTTGTTCTCTGGAAATTAGCACACTGAAAGTCACTGTTTGACATGCTTTTGGCAATGGCTTAGTTACAAATTCTGTGCTAGCTGCCTTTTAATATCTTCATACATGTGTGTATCCATTTTTTGGTTACTAATGATCCCAAAGGTATTTTAATTCCCAGGTTCCTGTAAGTGCTTTGTTTATTAGGCTAGTAAACACACAGCCTACAAATTCAAGAATGCAATTTTTTGCGTTGACTCACACCTTGAATTGTAAGATCTGTCTTAAATTAGCAGATGTTTTTGTGGACACATTTCAAAGTGGCTCTTGTTAACAGTTCAGCAGTTAACTTTTTTGCGTGTGAAATAGATATGTAAAATGAAGGACTCTGATTTCATTGGTAAAATGAGTGAAGAAAGCAAGTGAATAGAAAACCCCGAGAGTTTTACAGCAAATGATGGAGTGATGATTTAGTAGATACTGCGTCTAGTGATGTATTGTCATTACATGTTCTTCTAGATCAACTAATGTTGTAATTGAAGGCACTCATTAAGTAGAAAAAACTAATCCAGCCTCTTGTAGTTCCTGCCACCTGTTTATGCCGGTGTGTCCTCACCTACATGTTGTGTGGCCATCTACTGAACCAGAACAAAGGACTGGTCCAGTTGAGAGGGGAAAAAGAAACCCAGTGTATTTCGATTTATTTATTTTTCCTGGCTTAGTTTTCAGCCGGATAATTTTCTTGATCCAGTTTTTGTGTAGCTGCACAGATGTTTGTGTTGGCACAATAGGAGGGGTCTGAGCAGCAATGCATTTTACTACATATCCCAGAGGAGAAATTGGGTTTTGGTACTCTTTGACGAAGTTGAAACAACTAATACACATATATTAAAAAAAAAAGAATGGAATTTTCCTTCAGAGTAAGTTGGACTGTAGAGGGTTATGACATGAAGAAGACTTGCTGAAATCTGTACAAGCCAAATGCAATGCATTTGTGAAGTTTTGGTTGACACACTTTGCAATGATGCCAGGGCATAAACACAGCTGTTTTGGCAAGACAACATGTCATGTGGGATGGGATTGTGGTGAATTTATGTTTACACAATATAATGCATACATGTCAACTGCTTACAGATCCCTGGGAGGGAGGGATTCACTTTTGTTGAAGAAACTTTAGAACAATACCTGGCAGCCTGATTTTATTTTTGTGCATCTCTAAGCAGGGTATAATGAACAATCAACTGTATTAGGAACAGTGACAAAAACTCCTTCTCCCATTTTCTCAGCTTGGCTTGGAGTGCATTCCTATGCATAAGAAAGATGACAGATATATCAAGGAAGCTCTTTCCATGCTTACGAATGCCTTGGAGGTTTGAGCGCCCTTCGGAAGTCTGTGGCTGTGAAGATAGCTAGTGCGGGAGTGAGTCAGTGCAGGATTTCCCCCAAACACCCACTCCCGAGGTGGCCAGTGATAGTCCTGAAGGTCGTTTACCAGCATCAATGTTGGCTGAAGGGATAGGGAAGGAGAGGAGAGTGCTTCTGCATGGTCGTGGAGCTGCGCCGTGCTGCGGACATGGCCAGGATGCTGTCTGCCAGCCAAGGACAGGAGGTGGAGGGTATTTAGATGAGAAGAGGCTTAGCTGTTGGGAGGCTGCAAATGTAGCCGTCAGAAACTAGGAGGTTTGAGAGAATCAAGGCACCTTTCCTGGAAGACCAGTCCGATCAAAGGGCCTGTAAGATTACTTGCTGTTCCTTTTTTTTTTTTTTTTTTTCTAATTGTTAAAACATTTTCCCTAAACTTAAATGGTACGCCTCTTCTATTCTCCCCTGCATTTGAATGAAATAAGGATTTGGTACAACCTTCATCTCCTAAAGGAACAGAAGCCTCCTGATTTATTGTGCAAGAGTAATGTTGTTCACTTATTAATGGTGAAAAGTTCATGCCAATTACTTCTCAAAACCCTTGTAACTGAGAAAATGCATGCTTGTGGCTGCTATACATGATATCAGTGCAAATATAGCCTCTTCTTTAGCCAAATACTAATTTGGGCTTAAAAGAATCAGTATCCTGATTTTGCATTTTTAAGTTGATCAAAAATGGAGAAGAAAATTTGGTTTCTTGATTATTTTGAAATTAGACAGGCAGCCCATTAGAGGGAGGGGTTGGGAATAGTTGAATTGACGGTTTTGTGCATGTAGACTTGCATGTGAACCATTAGGATTTTTTCTGAGTCACACAAAAGAGAAAACATATTCTAGGTTTTGAACTAAACAAAGGCCTCCCTGTTGAGATTTTAGGCATATTCTTTTTATTGTTTGAACCATTGTCTGAACTGCTTTCTTAATAAGGCTGTGTTTCATAAAGTGATTAAGTAACAGGATTAATTTTCATGTAGTTTTAAGTTTCCCAGTTGAAACCTGCATGGCTCTGAATACATTATCTTCTTTCTTTGTGCTGGAAGACACAAGAAGTATTTCCATGAGCAGTGATGTGGTGAAGTCTGGACTAAGTTCTGGCAGGGTCTGGGTCCTTCTGGAGGACTGGCGGCTTGTGGGAGATAGTTTGTAGTGTGGCAAAATGACAGTCCTTGTGTGCTGACCTCTTGGTATGTTTTTTTAAATGTATTTTGCTTGTTCTTTGTATTAAAATGAGAGGCCAAGAGTGCTAAACAGAAAAGACAGTAGTGTAAAGGTAGTTGAAGGTGTTTTCACACAGTTAGTTTAGTCTTTCATCAAAGAGGAACTGAGACCTCTCGGTGTTGTCACAGGATGTGATTTCCAGGGCTTTTTGCCCGATGAATGTAACCAGAGCGGAGCCCTGTGCCATGAGTGGGAGCTGCTGTCCGAAGGACTGCTGCGCTCCTGCGGGAGCATTGCTGGGTCCTTGATGAAATAATACGTTGATTCAAGGAGATGGGATTTTCTCCCTCAATCATTATAGGCTGTTGGACTGGAGGGAAGAAAAAATCAAACAGACCCCCCCCCCCCGCCCCGCACGTGCAGTGTATGTAGCTTGAGGATTCTTAAGCACAGGAACATATTCCAGTTGACCTGACAAAATATTTCTCTTGCCAATAGATCCAGAGTACAGAGGGGGATCTACCACACGTTCCAGCTTCTCACCAGCTGGCAGTGACCAAGTCAAGGAAAGGTGAGTAGAATTCAACTCCTGAGAGACAGCAGTCTGCTAAGTGTCCTTCCCTCTCTGAAATGCTAATTCAGATATTTAAAACTTCTAAAGTTTCTTTTCTCGTTAGAAATAAAGACGATCTGGGGTTTTTTTTCAGCTAAATCACAGAACATTAGTGCAAAGTGCCAACCAAATTACAGGCAAGACAACAGCCCTGTAACCTCACTGGCTGTTTTCACTTCTGTACAACTGATGATAGCTCAGAGAGACTGAAATGTTAATTCAGATTGTGTGGGATTTTTTTACCCCTGGCAGATCCTGTAATTTAAGATACCCATTTAAACTAAAATTACATTGTTTTAAACCTAAATTGCATGATACATCCAGCTTTTTCCTATGCACTACTGCTCCGTCTGCAAGCTGGCTGCAGAGAAGACTGATGTCCCTGCACCCACATGGAAATTGTAGTCCTTCACATGTGGAGCTCTGTGCACTGGCTGTTGTGGCTCACTTAGTTTGTGCTTTCATCTCAAATTCTTATTTATGTATTTTATGGCTTGGGAGAGGGACAGAGCTGATCTTTAAGTTCATTTTGTGATAGTTACTTTGCCCAGCTTTGGCAAGTGAAGTCTCTTCTCTAGCTCTTATGTGTAATTAAAGAAGAAATAGACTTACTCCATTTAGTGAGATGCTTAGCTGCAATTCAGTTTCATGGTGAAACATGACTAGCGTCTCTAGATACTAAAGAGAGGCAGAAAAACCTGTCCTAAGAAACAGAGATCGTGTTATTTACATTTTCGCAAATGAAGTGACAGTCTTGTGAATTGTCAGCTGAATTGCATTAACATGGTTGAGAATGCCCGGGAAGTTTTCTATGACTTACTTAACAAGGATGTCAATGCTGGTGGTAAGCCTGCATATTTGCTAAAAGGTAGTCTGAGGTCAACGTTTTATTTCACCTGGAAGATTTGGAAAACTTAGGTCTTTGTTCTATATGGATATATGGATTTCAGTAAAATTGCAGCCAGAGGGCATTTGGTAGAGAATTTATCCAAAACGTTAAAAAACAGTAGTCAAATTTTTTCCAAGTTGTCTAGCATGACACAATATAGAGGCCTGTTTTCTCAGGGAGCGGGTGCTCACCAAGTTTGAAGACATCCAAAGTTAATGGTCACTTATTAAAAATACTGACCACTGTGTCTGAATGTGAAATGTCACTCTCAGTAGCAATCTCTTGAGATGGGATGAGCATGAAATTCAAGCACCGACCTTCTGTTGCAATGTGATTTCAGTTGATGATCCTCGTGCACACCCACCTCTTTCAGTGCTGTTGGCTCTACAGTACATAAGCACCCATAAACAAAAGATTTTTTTTTCCAGGTGAATGCTTCCCTTGAAGGAATACATGTGTACTTTTTTTTCATGTAGGGGTGCTTATGTGTCAATTAGCAGGGTTAGTGCTGTTTGGTACAGGCTGTTAATAAACCTTGCAGTGTCATTTTATATCTGCACAGAGGGCTGTGGATGCTTTCTCTGACATTTACAACAGTTGTAAGGCATTTTAAGAGGGCCTATAATAAGATGTGAAGTATTCAAATTAAAAAAAAATTATCTTTCCTATTGAAATAGTCTGGAGACAAGATATGTTTGAACGACACTGAGTCTACTGCTGCTTAGACTCTGCATTGAACATGTTTCTCATTTCAGATTACCTTTGTTTATAAGTGGTAAGCTTAGGTTTTCAAAGTGACTTGCAAATGATTGCTTTGCTGTAGTACTGTCTTAAACATTTTATAGGTGATACAAAGAATTCTGTGTTGTACTGACTAGCTTGATGTACTTTTTAGGTTATGTCTTTCAAAAGGTACTGGACTGAACTAGTTTATCCATTATGCCCAAAACCAGCATTCTGTTCTTTGTTGTTGCAAACCTCAAATGTAGATGTATTTTTGTGCGTGTGGGGTTTTTTTAAGAAGAAGAATGAAAAGCTTCAGTTGCTTTGCACTGTAAACATACAGTGCTGCTAAATGTCCACTATAAAAAAAAGTTATTGCAAAGTTATTTGGAAGGAAGGTTTGTTAGTTGGAAAACAAATTTCTTCCTGACATGTTTATACAGCAGCACCTTCCATTCCAAAAATGCCCAACAAACAAGACAAATATAGGTACAACGCGTCGAGAACAAAGTATTCTCAAGGCATTGTAATTTGTGAGTGTCTGGTTGCTGGCATCAATGGCTCTGTGAAATTTTGAATAGCCACAAACCTGTTTCTTTTAAGGCAGCTGACATTGATAGTCAAAAGCAGTGATTAATTTTGAAAATGTAGTTCTTGAAAGTGAAGAAAGCACATCATCAGCACTTCCTGTCCTTAATGTATTACTGTATTTATAGCTCTCTGTGGGTGCAGCTCCACAGGAGATTGGAGATGGGGGAGTGAGAAGAAAACATTTGGAACAGATTTAGTACTTGTGGGAGTCTGTGCTTATCTGTACAGAAGCTAGGAAATCCCCAGGGAGACGGAAGAGTTTCTGCAGCAGGCTCCCAACTGGGCTGGTTTTGGCAGTGCTCGGGTGCAGGGTGCGATCAATATGGGGAAGAAGGGGCAGCAAATATTTAATCCCATAATGGAATACTTTATAGCTAAGTTGGGAATGTCAATTTGTTAATAATCTCGTGAAATACAAAGTGCATTTGAGCTTTGCCATTGCTGCAGGTACAAGAAACAGATGTTACTAAAGCTTCACAGGCAATTTCAGCCTGTTTTTCCTTCTCTTCTGTGTGAGCAGTTGAGTGACGCAGAAAGCCTAAGACAAGTACCTGGTGGGACTGTTTGAATTGGTGAGACTGCCAGTCCATTGGTAGCTGAATATTATTTTGCAATAGATGAATTATTCCATTATTTGATAGTGATTCTCTGATAAATCTGTGCTCTCATGTTTTGTAAACTGCAGGCTTGTTTCTTCATCATCTGTTCTTGTTTAGAACTTTGTCAGCTTATTTGATATATTTCTGAATACTCACATTTCTCTGGCATGTATTCAGTGCCTAAATGTATTTTGATTTTTTTATACAGCTTAAAACAATAATCTAAGGGGAATTTTATTTGTGCTGTGTTTACCTGGGGTGTGAATTTGATTGTTCCTTCTGGTTTTGTTCATCTTGGCTGGTTCCTTCTCCCACACTTTCCTTATTATGCTGCCTCTGGCCTTCTCCCACTAGTTCAGAAGATTTCCTCTACATAGTGTTGATAATAGCTTTGGGCTGCAGGGTTGGCATTGTGCGGTGACCTTTTTGCAGAAGGTACAATTGCCTTAGTCGGGGTACAGAGGGCAAAGGATGATCCCAGATTGGCCCCTGCAGCCCAGCCTTTGATGCTGAGTTTTCTGCATTCAAGGTGAAATGGGAGGGAGAGGGGAGCCATATCTCATCACAACCTCCTTCTCTTAAGACTCTGCATTGCCAGGAGGCATTTTAATCTAGATCTGAATGTAACTCTTCAGCTTTTTTAAAATAATATTTTCATGCTTTCCCCTTGTCTGCTTGAATCTGAGAGACATCCAGGTGCCATAAAGCAGGTTGTACATCTGGATCAGTATTTGACAAGGAGGGTGGATACCATTATGAATCAGTATACGCCGATGTATTAGTTGGTATTTCCAGTCTTTACAGAGCCAAACCTTGTCATTTCCTTACAGAAGCAGCAGAGATTCCTGTTCTTTAAAGGTTTTTACTGCATTTACATGATAGTGGTATAGTGGAGAACTCTGAGAACTTGCAAGAGACAAGGGTAGGGTGTGGTAGAAAACAACTACTTGTACTTACAAAGGATGTCTTCTCTGATTTGCTTTAAAAAGTTAAAAAAAAATCCTAGCAACTCTGCAACACAGAAAGCAAGGGATGACTGTATTAGGGGGATGTCTCCTTAGGTGGAACCAAGGCAGTCTGAATCTGTTCATGCTGTGCTAGTCTCTTGCCATGGCTAAAGTCGATGAGGCAAGTATGAGTGCCTCTGCTCTAGACTGACCACTTGACTGGCAGTATCTGTCATGTAAGGCTGCTAAAGCATGTGTGTAAATAACAAATGCTATAGAAAATGATCTAAACCACTAATTTTTACTTTAGTACTCTGTCTCTGAGGAGACAAATTGATTTGAGGAGACATATATACATATATATGTAAAATTTTTTTTTTAATAGCTGAAAAGGGAATATTGACTGAGAAGAAAATAGAAGGGCAGGTCAATATTTTTCTTGAGCAGTAATAAACTTCATGCACATGAAACCAGATGCCAGCACACACATTGGTGAATTGCTTTATCTGAACTGGTTGGAATCTCTCCCCTGTGGCTAAGACTTTCAGCAGCAGTGCTTTTTCCTTTTAAATTAAAATTCACCAAATAGGAAAAGAGACAGAGAGGAGGCCAAAGTAGGTGACTATTCACCTTGGAGGAGGTGGCAGCTTCCCACCAGCCTCAGCTGTAGTGGCATCCTATTGATGGCATGCTCTTTCAGCCGTATTAATTGTAGCGGGCAGTTAATAAGAGCTAGTCCAGTTCTCAGGGAAGTAATTTCCATTGTCTTTACTGGGAGCTGGGTGGGGATGTCTGTCTTGAGGTAGAAAAGTTGTTTATCATCGCAGGATATTGTGGCTACCATGATAACAGAACAGCAGCACAATTTGAAAGGCACTCCCTAAAAGCTGTGTGAAATCGCTGATACAGAAGTTTAATGGGCAGTTTGCCTCTCCTGGTGTTCACAAACTTCTGGGCCTGTGCAGGCTTTTATTTCTGCATTAGTTCATCAAAATTAATATGAAAAAAAATTAGTTCTGAACATCCAACAGTTTCAAAACAGTTTTCATAATGCATTCCAATGCATTGAGCTGTGAACTGGGATTAATTATATGATGACAGTTAAGTGGTTGAAGGAATGTGGGGCAAAATTCTGCATTGAGCCTCTGAGAAGACAGCAGCAAGCTCTTGCCCCTGGGGGAGGAGGAGGAGGAGGAGGCAGGGGTCTGG